GTACGGTAAGTATAAAAGTATACTCGTGGTCTATACAAAGTCCCCGAAGGATTACTAGAATTTGAAACAAGAACAAACACCAGGGGCCACGGCTATAAACTAAAAAAACTGCGCTGCAACTTCTCCACGCGATAAAATGTATTCTCGCTTTGAATCACCGACATGTGGAAGTTGGAACAGCCTCCCCGATGACATCATTGGCATTCCAACTTCCAAGTATGAACGCGTTCAAGAACAGACTAGATAAAGCTATGGAAAAATATATGTTCAGATTTGAAATGCCTAGCACCCAGTCTGGAAAAGTCCTATTTTTGTCTGAAATATCGCGGCTCTAATATCATATAATTTCAGTAGGTATGAAATCTCGCGGCTCGAATGTCATAAATTTTTGTTTGATTAAAAAATCGCGGTTTGCACCTGTCTCTTATACACATCTAGATGTGTATAAGAGACAGGGACAGGCAAGTGAAGTGCTGTAGCTCTGCTGCATTCCTTTTAATTTGGTTCAACCAGGGACAGGCAAGTGAAGTGCTGTAGATCTGCTGCATNGATTTGAACAATGTTTGGAAATTGGAATAGTGACTTTGATGACCTTATTCTGTTTTTGGTCAAATCTAGCAACTCCAGAAGTAGGATTTGAGCGGGCAAACGATGACAGCATGTTCACAACACGATTGTCACAACACCGTACATATGAAATATCGCATGTTTCGCTGATCAGTCTCTTCTCTTCAAATGCTCCTCTTCCTCTCTTCGTCAATTCTTTATCTTCTTTTTTAAGAAATTTTCATTCCAGGCACGCGATTTGCCCAAACTGTTCCGCAGCAAAAGATTTTTCTTTCTGCCAAGTGTTGTTGCAGCGGCACAGAAGTAAACCAATAATTATCAATAGCCACCTGCATCTGTTCTTCAGTAAACCAATGGGCACCTGCATCTGTTCTTCTGCTGGGCAAAACGTTGGATCTGAAACACTGTCATCACTATCGTTGTTTTCATCAACATCGCTCGTATCAGCTGCTAACATGTCCATCCTTTCAGCAATAGATGCTTTTTTGGCAGACGATCCATAAAAAACCCTGAAGCCATATCTAAAAAAAAAAATAATTATGAGAAGCACTGCCGATCTCAAAACAGAGTTTAAAATGCTATGTCTATTTGGATGTTAAGCCCAAATCAGTAATAAAGTTGCATTTATCTGTATTTAGGTGTAAAAAAACACTGATTACCTTGATAAGACATACTGAACGATTTTGCCTATTTCAGTATTTGTGAAATTGTGTCTGGTAATGAATGGTGCTGTCCTAACTGAACTAATTTGTACTAACCAAAAAAAGGCATCCACAATACAAATATGAGCGCCAAATAATTTAGCTACCGGTAGACCTTTTATCACACATATGAATCATGTTCATTTCACTGGTATTTTTTTTTCGTTGGGATAACTAACCTCTCTTCAAGTCTATGATGGACAAAAGTTGACAAGATGAAAGGTTGTCTGTCACGCTACAATCTCCGTGACATCAGGTTGCCCATTGAGCACAATTCCCCTAATAGAGCGATGTGGCGGTGTCTGGCATGTTGGTCTGCTGGACTGTAGTCTGTACCAATGCGTTCACTTCGGACTCAGAACCCACAGGCTAATATTTTCTCTATATTATTGCTTTGAAATAGACTGAACGAATTCGTTCACTACGGCCGTTAAGGGTTAAAAAGTTATTGGCATTTGGCACATATATATGAATTATAGATAGGAGGGCAGTCAGAGACAGATCCATTGGTAGCCCGTGATCCATCAGTATAGATCTGTAGCTGTTGAGGATAATACTGTTTCCACTTCTTCTTCCAGAAGTATCGAAAGAAATTCTGCGTAATTTGAGGTGGCATTGAACTTCCTGCAAGCCTTCAACCCTACTAAAGCCCCGTCCACACGTTCAAACTTATCGTCAGTCTTGCATCGGCAACAGGCCATGGGCCTATTTCTTCAACGCCGACACTTCTATTCTATGTCATGCCAGGTGTGAGCGATTGCGACGGAAGACTGAAGAGCGTCCACACGCTCAAACTTTCCTTCAGTTTTTAGTGCGTTCGCGACAATGAAGGAGGCAGTGCTGCTCGCTGCAGTGATCGCAGTTTGTGCCACCATAATTAGGTTCAAGCGATGCAAACGTACGCGGTGGTCCCGAAAATGGTTTTAAAAAATACCATAATGAGGGTTGATAGACAGCATCCCTACCAGCACCAGACAGCATTATCGACTTCATTTTGGCACATTCTTTTCGATGAAGAGTTTATTTTCTTCGTTACAAAGTCTCTGTTTGCTGTATAATCAACTTCTTTGCACTTAGCGATCAATGCCGCATAGGCCAGTGCCCTCTTGTTCTTAACTTCTTGTCACTGCAGCTTTTTGATCGAATTTACCATAAACATGGGAAACTACGATATAACTCCATAAACTCACCAAAATAAATCGTGAAACCAGTGTCGGATATCCTGGGATATGAAAAACTAAAGCTAGCGAGGAACAATGTCACAGCTCTCATCATCAATATAGACAGAGATAGAGTAAAAGTTTGACCAATTAATCGGTTGCCCGTCCACACGCTCAAACTTATCGTCAGTCTTGCATGAACCCAAAGGTCTCGCCCGTCCGTCTTTTTCAGGTTTGTCAAACCTCAAACTCCGCCCACCCGTCATGCAAGACGTCAAACTTTGAGCGTCCACACGCTCCGTCTTGTCGTCAAACCTGGCAAACCCTACCAAGTCGCCTCACAACCCTACCAAGACGGCTCACAACCCTACCAAGTGTAAGGTTAAGATGAAGCGCGCCTCTCAAGTCATGCGTCGTCTCTGAGTCCGATGTACGGTTGGAAGTGTTTAGAATAGAATAGAAGTGTCGGCGTTGAAGAAATAGGCCCATGGCCTGTTGCCGATTCTTGAACTTTTCGTGACTTGATTCACAAGGGATCCGGCCTTTGGAACCCGATCTTTCTTTAGCTGACGATTGATTGAGATAGCTGCTGGACTTATCGCCTGCTCCGTAATTTGCTAGGCATTTTAAGACTGAATATATGCTCCTGCATAGCTTCGTCTAGTCTGTTTTTGAAGATGTTCATACTCGGAGCTTCAACGATGCTATCAGGAAGGCTGTTCCACATGTCGGTGACTCGAAGCGAGAAGAAATGTTGTCGCATGGATGTGTTCCAACGCTGTTTTTTTAGTTTATAGCCGTGGCCCCTGGTGTTGGTTCTTGTTTCAAATTCTAGTAATCCTTCTGGGACCTTGTATAAGCCATGAGTATATTTGTATACTTCAATGAGGTCCCCACGTAGACGTCGATAACTGAGGCTTGGAAGCTTCATAATCTTTAATCTTTCCTCATAGGACTTGCAACGACGGGCGTTCGCCAGACGGAGCGATGTCGGCTCATATGAAACACAGCCCGTGTAAGCGTATAACTTGACAAGGGCTCCTTGAAGGAACAAATAAATATATTAGAAATCACTTCCCATCGTTGATCACTCACCATTACCATGTGTGCAAGGTTTAAGGCTATCGCTGAATAATAATATGGTGGTTTGTTCAAAGAGTTATGACGTCACACTTCGGATGAGTGGCTTGCTGATTTTCGTGCGCTTCATCGAGTCGACAAGGTTGAGAAAAATATCTCGCATGCAAACAGCAACTGTTTTTAAAGTCTCTACAAAATTTCTTGATTCACGGCAACGTGTTTACTTTAGCAATACATGATTGGAAAATCTTCCTGCAACTTTATGGTTTTATAATGGTAATACACAGGGTCATTTTTTTACTACATTAAAATTACCGTTTTCTCAGACGTGATCTCATGTTTAAAGCCTCAATTGCTTGCACCTACACGACAAATATTGTTCCTAATTTAAAAAATCCACGACATTGAATTTGCCTAAAAATAGTGTCTTATGTTCCCATTCACTTCATTATTTAAAGAAATTAAGGGAATGTTCGAACATCAAATTCCGAAAAATTCAACTAAACGAATTCCACATTTTTTAGAAGATAATTACCTCTTTCAATTACCAGTATTTCGCGGTGTTCTCATCCGGATAAGCTGGAATAAAGACTAGTTTAGACCGAAGACTGAGGTTGAGATCGGTAACGAGGAGAGTAGTCTTTCACTCTACCAAGTAGTCAAGGACATCGCGACAAATGATGAACTAAAAATTTTTTGGTGAACTACCAAGGCCCGTAAGCTGCATCGAACCTATAGCAGGATAAAAAGACTTCAAGGTCAGAAATAAGTATCCATTGTATTTAAAGGCTCAAATAAATAAAAGATTTAAAGGCACAAAAGTTGAACTTTATTCCATGTTACCCTGGAGCCTCGCATCGCGAGCCTTGTAATGAATAACGAATTCAAAGGTCTAAACTCTTAGTCTCTACCACAAGTGAGAATGATATCTATTATCGGTCAAAGTTAAATTACACATGGGTTACAAGAAAAAACAAATCTGTTAGGTAACAAGTCGAATTCCTCCAGTACTGAAGGCGAGTCCTTTCCACGCTAATTACACGAAAAATATTAAAGCTGTAACCTCTGACGGCAAACGAAGATCACTTCACAAAATCCCAACCAAACGCATCAATGACCAAGGTCCTTATAACCACAAAAAGAGCTCAAGAATCAACATCAAAATCAAATGTCGTTTTCACCATGCACGCTTTACCCCTCCATTAGCGACTGATGTCTAGAACATCATAAAAGTGCAATTACGCAACCCAAACCAAACGCAAGATAAAAATATCTCCGAAGGCATAAAAGTTATGCCTACGTTGTCCGACTAAACACAACGTTAAGAAAAAAAAAGCAGGAATACACTTGAGCGAACAACGAAAATATCTTCACCCAGAAAGGATCGGCCCCAGCGACGTGCCTGACCAAAGCCCAATTACCGCAATTACGCAGCCTAAACCAAACACAAAAAAATGTATATAAATTCAAGCAAGAGGAGAATCATACCAACATTTCTAAATAAAGAAACTTATTAAAAGAATGTCCACTGTCAGGGGCAGTCCTCTAACTCTCTACACGGTTGGGGTGACGTTTCGCAGAATCCTGCTCAGCTGCCTTTTGATTTCAGGTAACTTATTTTCAGAAGGTTCCGATGTCAGACGCTGTAGAATTTCCTCGCATTCGACACTATTTTTTTTGCCAACACTGGAGGCCAAGGCGTTCCAGGCCATGAGATCTGACTTGGTAGACCGTATTTGGTCTTCTAGAAAATCATTCCATTCATCCACATCAGCCCTAAGTTGTATGATGTCACTTATCAAAGTCTGAGATACTTGTAAATTTTTCTTCAGTCGCTTTATTTTTTCTACTATTGCGGACTGTATTTTGGCCTTTGAGTCCGCATCGGCGTTCTGGAGCAGGTTATTAACGACCTCGATTTTGTGTTCGCCATGAATGCCTCTTGTGCATGTAAAACAGACGAATTTAATGCAGCTTACACACAGGTAATCCAGCTGCCTGTCATGTTGAGAGCAGAGAGGCTTTGACTCTGTTTTTTTTTTCTGTTTACATGCCTTGTTCTTCGAGGGAATCAAGCTGTAGTTGACTAACAATTCATTAGTAGGCTTACGAATTTTCTTCCTGCATTTAGGACAGCTCTTGGCTCCATGAACTGTAGATAAGCTTGTAATGCAGGAGACACAATAGGTATGACCACAAGTCAAGCACATTGGCTTGTGGTCTTCTGTGTCAAAATCTTCATCACAAATTTCACAAACCGCCATGGCGGTTGCCATTTTAAATAAAGGGGGATATTAACTTTGAATAAATAATATTTAGTTACACCAAGCTGTTTGAGAAAATTTTGATTTCTACTTTTTAAACTTTCAAGTTTACATTTGATGGTGTGCCATGATAATCTGAAAATAAAAATGTCAATAAATAAATGAAAAATAATATTAATGGGACTGATTCCTACATTTGCCTGTGCCATTATCCAAAAGAAAGTAGGAATAACCTATACCCTAGGTTATCAAAGAAAATATTTTTTAAAATATGGACACCAATTTAACCCCAAAAAATGGACCCAAATTCATGTAATTATTTACTATATTCAACCAATTACACATTAACTGGTTCTTCTAAAAGAGCAATAAACCCAGAACTTATTGAAAAAAAAAAAAATGACTTAGGAGTTGAACTCACGATTTTTTTCTATTAATCAAATGTATAATAAAGCTTTGTCAACTTAGAAATGTATTCTCAAACTTCAATATGCAATGAACTCTCTGACGAGTGGACCTGCTACAGATTCCCCCAATTGCGTATATAAGGTCACAGTGGAGCTGGACCTACAAAACAAAAATTAGCTTATCACACCTTTCATGTAAGCTCAAGCTTAAGGTGGAATAAACTTCTTTTCCAAGGAGAGGACTTTTAGTAAAAATTCTAAAAATTAGGAAAACCTCAGTACAGTAACAGTTTTGATAATTACTACAAATAATATACGTTTAAAAATTACTTTTTAAAGACAACACTTCCAAAGAATCCAGTATCTCCAATCTTACAGATGTACAATGAATTTCTCATCTAATTTTCATAAATTAAATAAATTTATTTTTCAATTTTTTTTAATATATATAAATTTTTTTAATATATTAATTTTTTCAAAATTATTTTTTCTGTTAATTGATTCATGCATTGCCTCTGACTTCACACAAGTGTGCAAAATTTCAGATAAATTAGACAGGTAAAAGTGTGTCAAATATCAGTTATAAGATTTGTAGCTGACAAAATTATTTTTTCAATTTTTTTAATATTAAAAAATATTTAACATTGAAAAATCTTTTATTTTGACATTTGATTCATGCATTGTCTCCAATTTTAAACAAGTGTGTAAAATTTCAGATCGATAGGATAATTAGAAGTGTATTAAATTTCGATTACAAGATTTGTAGCAGACAGACAGACAGACAGACAGACAAACAAGAAGTGAAGTTAAAGAGAAGTGTTGTAAAATTAGCTTATCACACCTTCTATGTAAGCTCAAGCTTAAGGTGGAATAAACTTCTTTTCCAAGGAGAGGACTTTTTGTAAAAATTCTATAAATTAGGAAAACCTCAGTACAGTAACAGTTTTGATAATTGCCAAACTTTATTCATGCCATGTATAAATGTTTAAAGTTTGAGACACAGAAAATAATGCTTTGTTATGAGTCAATATTAAATACATATAAAAAATGGACTGAGCAGACTTGGGATAGATTTTGCTAATAAATGGCCTGAAAGGAGCCAGTAACATGCACAGTGTTGGCAATGATAAAATCAAACTGATTAAATAATGTGATTAAATCACTTCATTTTTTATAAAAAAATCACAATTTTTTATTGTTTCATTTTTTAATATTTTTTTATATATTTAAATATATTCAGTGGCAGTCTTCAATTCATTTTGAGGTATTGTTATTCATGGTTTAGTATAAATGTACTATGAAAAATTGGAATATAAACCTATTGCCTTTAGTCTTAGTGTGTATTACGTTTCAATGAATTGTATGTTTTTGGTACAGAGGCATCAAGTCTTGCAATACATTGTACATATAACATAGCTAGCAGCTTAGTTAATTCTTATAAGGCTTACTTAAAGGCTATAAGTAGTTTTTAACTATTTGACTATTTATTATATATTAATCACATTATACAATATACATGTGTTAGCTAGCTTATATAAAAAGGGTTTTTTCTGTATCTGTAAGCTTACAGGACTTGTAATTTCACACCATTTTAATTGGGTTAAGTGAATTTACTATAAAAAAAAGATTGTGAAAAACATACCTGAAACAGAAAGGAATGTTTTAGTGACAACCATCATATGTTTTGGAGAAATAAATCATAGTTTAAGTCTATTACTTTTCATTCTATGATGCCTGGTGCACAATTCTATATATGACATTTTATGCACAATTTTGTGATGACCAATGATGCACTAATTTTTTGATAAGTGAAATTTTTTTGCTGAGTGAGGTAAATGTAATCAATATTCTTTGTTTTTAATAAATTTTTTTCTTAACTGGAGCCTTTGCTGAGGTTCTACTGTAAATGCATTTTTGGGGGTGTCCCAAATAGCCCCCGGGGGGGTGTCCCGAGTAGCCCCGCTGTGCGGGAATGGCCACTATTTTTTTTTGGATTGAGGTATGTAAATTCTGCAAATAAAGTTTTCATGCTGGCACTTGTCTGCCACTTTTTTCTAAGCAAAATTTTTTAATTCGGCAAATATTTTTTTTACTACAGACCTTAGCAGAAGTAACTTTTCAAAATATCATTTTTCACGATTTTGTTCAGGAATTTTTCAAAGCTAGTAAATGTAATATTTTTGAACTTACTTTATACTACATAGATAGGAAAAATGTTGACATTAACGCCGCTATATTTAGTTTTGCAATATTCCAATTACTTTTGCTACTACAACAGTTTTACGCCGTGTCTGAGGACTGTCCCGAGTTACCCCGCCCGTCCCGAGTAGCCCCAGTTGATGGTAGTCCAGTTCTAAACTTTCCATTTCACTTTATATGCAGCAAATATGTTCAAAGACTACCATTCTTCCACATTGCCAAACTTGAAATGAAGGAACGATGGTCCATGCATTCATATTTGAACCAATGGATTTGCTTGATTGGTCCACAAATTTCAAATATACAAATAATAGGCTAATTCCTTGTTTTTCCCATCTTTCAAACATTTCATATATTGTCATGTAGACAAAAAAAATTATGAGGGGGTTATTAATGAACTGTTATATATGTCTGTTAAATTGGATAGAAAGCTCTGAAACTAAAACCATTTTTCCTTGTATAGTCAAATTTAATTTTTAGAACAGAGCAGCTTACAAACCTGGAATCTTGAATATAAGCACTACTAATTACTATTGCTACAGTTACATACTGGCCAATTGGCCAATAACAAATTAGAACATTGGCCCTCTTGATTGATAAGGCCAGATAAGCACTGAACCAGAAGTTAAGAACCACAACTTTTTATAAACAATGCCACTAATTTACTTATTTAACCCCAGCTTTACAGCAGTAATATCACCGGACACCAGTGGCCCGGCTGCCCTAAGGCAGCCTTCACAAGTTCACAATGAATAAACAATCGATTTTGCTAACAAAGCTGAGGCTGAGCCAGCACGTTCGTCGTTCTATGATTGTAACTATTCTAGCATAATTAAAAAGGTTTTTAGGTAATAATTATGATTATGTGACAACTTGACAAGGGAACCCTACAAATTGTTATTCTTCTGGTACTATACAGTATACTATTTTTATTGATGTGTGGCAACTGGCAAGTTATGGGCATAGTAATACTTAGTACCGGCTCCTGCAGTCCTGCTGAATGGCAACTTAGCCTATGTGTAATGTGATTCTAGGATCAACTTCAAGATGATAAAGTCCAGCTGCTTGCCTGCTCCAGCCTCCACTCTCCAGCACCCATAACGAGATATAAATAGCTTTGTAGCAACTAGCAAGTATCATAAGCAACTAAGCCTAAGCCAGTAACTTGTAAGCGCTAAGCTACTTACAAAGTTACAATTATCAAAATTATGTGGTAATTGAGATTTGAACCAAATTAATCGTAGTTTTGACTAATATTATGCAATATTTATTGGCGAGCGACAAGATAACAACTGCCTCTGAACTACACTCACTGACTCACGTGTAGTTCAAAGTACCGTAGCTTAAACGAAATACAAGCAAGTTCAACTTTCAAGCAACCTAATAAATCGACGTTTAAACGCCGAATGACCGCTGATACCGACTACGCCAAATTCGGATCTTCTTCTTATTCATTCTTATAGGAGCACTGGAAACTAGTCCATAAAGCCCATTGCCTAAACTGGGTTTAATTGGTACCTACCTAACAATTTAACAGCTCTGAAAGTGAAAATCTGAAACAAAGAGAGACAAATTCGGATCCAAAGTTTGATTTGCACAGTACGTTACTTACATGCGGAAAAAATTTAACACGTTCCAATTCACTTTAACTTGGTAAAAATTAGACGAACAATTATCTAGTTATATATGAACAAAAGTCAATTTTAAGCAAACCACATAGATTTAAAATACTCTGATTACCTTATTCCAATCAAATCTATTATTATAGGGTGTGTAATTATATATATTCATTAAAGATGAATTTGAATATCCTTAGCAAAGCCCACATTAAATTCGCTACCTCGTTATAACCAACAACAGATTTTATTCATGTAAATTTAAAATTAAAACAGATTTATTGAAGTTTCCATTTAATTCAACAATACACAAACTAATAAATAATTCAAGTTCTGATTCCATTTAAAGGTATATAAACAATGTATATATAGAGGTTATCAATTTACCGTACATGGTTTTAGGAATTCACTGTGATCAGAAAAATTGAATACATTGATAAACATACATTTTATATCAATATTTTTTTCCTGCAGAAAAGAAGATAATTAGTTTAGAAACATTGTGAAATTTCAACAAAACGAAAATAAAATTTTTTGTTCGATCGAGTCGCATAAATATTTAAATATTATTGCGTGGTTGTATTTTAATAGAATATAATGGGTTGACATGTCACCAAGTGTTGAGAACTCTTGATACTTTTTTATCTCTCTTTTGATAATTCTTATCATGTTTGCACTCATGGAAAGGTTATCAGATAAATAAATTCACATATATTATTTTTTTCCGAATTTTACTTTTAACTTTCAATAATATAATTAGTTCTTACCCTCTCCTAAAAAATATTAATCAAGCATGCATGTGCAGAAAAAAAAATTGTTATATTTTTACAAGGCGCACGCATGTATAAAAAAGTAGATGGAATTTTAAAGTATATAGGACCAAAAACATTTTAATGCCCTAATTGTAATTATTA